GGGGGGGGGGAAGAGACTGAACGGATGTAGTTTGCAACATAAAGCCAGAATCACTCACTAAATTAAGAAACACAAGAAAAATTAAATACTTATGCCAGAAGTCTCAAACCCACATACCAAAAGTCTTTCAAACATTATTTAGCATCAACTTTGTAAAGCATTAACCTCACACTGAACAGGCAGCATTCAATCACCTTTTCTGTAATCACTTACCCACATTTCCAGAAAAGGACAGATTGAAGCACGCGCTTGAATATTTTTCTGAATCACAACTTTCAATGCAAGGAGAGAGACAGGGCACACCGAAGTAAAAAATTCAAATATTTCTCAAGGCTGGACACAGAACCCTGAACTTGAATTGGAGGTTCATGGTTGAGGAGGAAATCCCACTCAGGACAAGCCACACTCATATCTGCATAATGGGATCCCCGGGGGCAAAGGGAATACAAGCCTGGACATGACTGGGCACTATTTCTGAGTGTGTTCAGAAGCACTTACAAAATGAAACACGATGCACCCAAAAATTCCCAGCTGAGGAAGAAGAATTTCAACATCAAGATAAATATTATGCTTTCACATACTGCTCTCACCCCACGCCCAAACCATCTCTTTCAAGAAAGCTGTATTTAAGAATATGCCTGTTGTCCTTAGGTGGAACCTAAGTAAGCAGCTTAAAAGGATGAATTTTTAAGCAAAACATCTCACCTAATAACCATGCACAGTAGCTGTTTTTTTTCCAAGCTGTAGCCTCTCTTCTTAAATGCTATGTAAATTCAGCAGGGCACATACATACACGAGTGACGGACACGAACAGAAATGTGCTTTGATGTTACATGTACTTAAGCACTTTGCAGAACTGGGACACAGAATGACAACAGCTTCCTGGAGTAGCACCGAGTCAGATCATACAGTCAGAGTGGGAATCCCTTCCTTATGCTGTCAATCCAGCATCAATCCAATCAGACTTCTCAGGTGAACAGAGTCTAGGAAGTCCTCCTGGACTATTCAGTGCAGTTCCCTACCACCATGGGAAAAATTACTATATAATCCACTTAAAGATCCATCTTGAAACAGTTAAGGAGTTTCGTTCCTTTAGAAAGATTGTTCCAGAACCTTCTACTCTAACAATTAGGAACTTCGGTTAATATCAAACGATGTTTATTAGCATATATTCCACTCTTCTGTGAAGACTGTGCATTAGGTTTGGTAGCTGCTCTCCAAGAGAGCATGAGTGAAGAGATGCCTCTCTGCCTTTATTTGTTAAATTATCTATCCCACTTGCCCCCCCGCTTTGCAAAACCTTTAGGTTTGCTCTATCCTGAGCAGGGATGATGACATTTGCACAGAATATGCCAGATGAGGTTTCTCAAGAGCTCTGTACAGTGACAGCAGTACTGCCTTGCCTCTGAAGGCAGAAAAATGCAGTCCAGTCTTTCCCGACTGCCTCGGGCGAGTTACTGTAGCCTCCTCTCTTCAACTAGTCCAAGTCTTTCTTCTCCCTCTCAGTCTACTTCCAGTTGCTCCCAGTGGCCAGCAGAAGTTTTTGTTAATACTATCCCAATACGAGAGAATAATAGAGGGTGTGTATTTTATATTCTTCTACTACAAAGCATCACCCTCAGTTAAGAGATTATCTGGTCGCTAGACCTGCACGAACCACATTTCTTCACCTTTGCTTCCACCTTGCTTCTTCCTTCTTCAGTGCCCATGATCCATCTTGCTATCTCCCCTTCATCTTCAACATGTTCAGCTAACTGAAGCCAGAGGTGAAGCGTTTAGTTTTGGAATAGCACCAAGGTAATTCCTCAGCACCACCAGAAACACTCCCACATCCTCGTTGTGTGGCCCTGCTTTTTCTTTCTTTGCCATATGACACCAAGGCAAGAGGACGTACACAGTTACACACATTCCTGGTTACTACCCCTGTTGCTTCTTTCTACACATTCTAAATATCCCTCATAAGAGTGGTTATTCATCCAGTGTTATGTGGAAATGCTTCTGACAAGCGTTCTCCCCACTAGCACTATTTAGATACTTAGGAACATTTCTTTTTTTCCACTGGTGGTTTTTTTTTTTAGTTTTAAACAACTGAAAGTCTTTGACAGATTTTTAACTAGTGCAGCATGGTATTTTATATTCTGGATCACTTAATCAACAAATCACACACTCCTATCTGCTTCTGGAACTGATGTAAATCTTGACTACTCTACTATCTTCCTTTCAATCTTCTCTTGGGTAACCTTCATTCTGAGATGAAGAAGTCTTAACGGCATTATTCTTCCACCTTCAGTTCTTCCAGTTACAGCATCTTTTGCCTTTGCCTGCAACTCCACATCATTCTCTCTGATGCTGCTCCTCAACTCTTCCTCCTTCTCTAATTGAGCTCCACTTCCACCTTATGGGAAATGACTCTCTGGGTCACACTCCTTCTTGAGGGGTGGGGTGCAGGGGATCTGTCTTTCAAGATCTGTTTAAATCAACAGGTGCCCACAATCCTTCAGTTCTACAGGCACGTTCTCCTCCTGGCAAGCCCTCGCACTGCAAGCATCTTCCCCAGGAGCTCTGTTGGGGACACCTCTGTTCTTCTGAGGTACCTGCTCAAGCGTGAAGCTTCCTCACTTACGCACCTATGCAAGTAATGACCGCAGCATTTCAACTCAGTTGTAAGCTATAGAGTGAAGTTGATCTGAAAATTGCTGGACTCACAGTGACCATCAAGGTTACTACTGTGTCTGGAATACGGTACAAATGCAAGTTTGGGCCCAAGCGTTAAAAGACTAATGAAGTTGTACTTTATAAAACCCTCAAAGTATTTTGTGAAGATGTCCAGGAAGGCTGCGATCAGACTGCAGATCAGATCACAAGGGAGCTAAGATAGGTTGCAATAATGTCCAAACCTATGATCTGAAAAATCCTCAGCAGCTGCAAGAAGCCTGAATACCAAACACCTCCTCTTTCTGTCCTGCTGCACGGCTCTGACATTATGTGCTGTACGTATTACCTACCATCCCTAAGCTAAGCCCTACTGGGTGCAAGCAACAGCATGAAGCAGTGCTTAAAAGGCTGGGGTGGGGGGGTGGCTGGCTCTGTGCTAGAAGCACATTTAACAGAACAGATACAGCCACTTACATTCAAAACAGGTGGCACAGAGATTGTGATATTCTAGGGCCCAGCAGCTGAGCAAGCAAGAAAAGTGGCTATAGCCTAGTTACGACATTGCGACAAGGAGGGAAGAGGCCCAGTTCTCAGTCCTCCTTTTAAAAGTTGTCTCCAGTTCTCATCAATTTAGTTTTTGGAAGATAAAATATGTAAAGCAGAGTCTGGAAAAGCAACTAAAACCCCAGGTTTCTCTCTGCTGCGCATTTTCACTAATAGACTACAGTGCCATGCTTCCCTCACACTGCCACTCATTCTGGCTTTTGAAGCTTGCAAACAGTGTACCACCCTCTGCTCATTACCACCGCTTACAAATGGAAGAGGCTACAGCTGCTCCACCCTGTGTTATCACATTTCAGTTCAGCCATGCACAAAGCTGTTAGACTGAACTGTCCTACCTTGTTTTCAGAGGCTTCATGGTCCTACAGCACCATGCCTGGGGTGTCCCTCCTTGATAAGAAAGATGTGGGCCTAAACAACTCATGTGGAATAGGTGCACTTGTTCAAGAAGCGAGTGGCCCCCAAATGCTGGCTTGTTGTATAAGTGGGCACTACTAGCACTCCTGCTAGCTAGCTACCTCTAGAGAGCTCCTTACCCAGCAAGCAGGGATTCTGCATCTTGTATTCCAGGCATTATACGCAGAGCTAATGTGCCTAATTTGAGGCTTTAGATAATACTACGGAAGTAGGTGCTTAATCCTTCTTTGAATCTGGGCCAGGGTGTTCTGTATATCCAGGGACTGAAACAAGATACGAGGACGGTGAAGACGTTAGTGGATTGGCAGACCTTTAGCGGTAAGAAGTCATGATGCAGATGAATAGGGCTTTCTTGCTGACATAGGCAGAGATCAAACTGTTGGATTTAGACTTAAGTAAGATACGCAATAGACTTCAATGATGACACTTGGAAGCAAAAATACCACCTTATCCCAAGACTTAGGCTGTGCAAATCAGGAGTAATTTCACTGATGCTGTCCTGTGAAACTTAGATGAGTCAGACAAATAGCTTCTGAACGGCCAGTGGGCAGCTATGAGATGTATTTTTGCATATAGAAAGTAGTAGGAAAACATAAGCCCATTGTCACATTTTTCCAAAAGGCAATATTAGAAAGAGCAGGTATGTAAAAAAGTAAATTACAGGCTGCTAGCAGCTTAAAACCTACTAAATTGCACTTAGACGTGAAATAACAGGGTATACATTTTACAGAAATCTTTTAATAGAAAGCCATATTCAAAATTTGGCAAAGGTGCAAGTTAACTTTCTCTCCTTACCAGCAGATACCAGGACAACCGCTGTAAACAAACTCATTTCCTCATCACTAAGTTGCAGGGCATTTAGTTTCTCACTAAATTCAAACATTGAGTTGAGCAGATCACCAGCTCCCATTGAATGCAAGTCATCCACACTGTACTTTTTTCCACTCAGAAAGGTGACAGTACGTTCCTTTGCATCAAACAAAGACGCAAACCGTACCATTAAAACCTGGTGAAAGAAAAAACAGAACAACAAAAACAGATAAATGTAAGTGGATTTCTAGAAGAGCCAAAGAAAAAAATTAAACCTTTCAATATCATTCGAACTGTCTCGTTAACCGCTGTACAAGCATTCTATACAGAAACAGTCAGCATGCTATTGAGCTGTAAAAAACAGTGCAAGCTCTGGCCCAGTAGTCTGAGAGAAACAAACAAGTGAAAAAATTAGCGAGTGGATGCAGGGAAGGGGCTATAGCACATGAAAGGGAAGAAAATTCAAATTTAAGCCTCAGACAGCCTGAGCCACGAAGACAATGCCATTCATAAATATGCCAGTAGGACAACTTGCTTAAGCCACCAAACAGCCAAAGGCATAGAGAGCATTAAAAGAAATGTTTTCTTGGCCACACTTATGAGGAGCAAAATGAAGGTATTGAACCAGATTCTCGCTTGGCGAGCAGCTCCATTGAAACAATGCTGATTTACACCATCTGATGATCTGGCCCACTAGGCATTCTTTGGGAAAGTACCATGCCACATCGCTGTACCCACAGGAATGTTGATGAGCTCTGGTAGAAAGGAGCCACATGTACGGCCTTCAAAAGGCTAGGGAAGCAGGGCTTGAAACGGCACCTGGTCTGTAGCTGCAGCTGGGAATACCCCTTTGGTATAAGCACCTGGGCTGGAGCAGTTGACATGTGCTGAACTTACCCCTCTGGGCTGAAATTTTTCTTGTGGTTTCTCAGTCGTACTGTGAAATGTTTCCCTCTGGAATGGCTTGTAAAGTTTCATTTGCTCATGTTCAACAACCTTATTTACATTTTCAAGGTTTAAGTTGCACAGAACAGCCTTCTCATTTGGAGAAAACGAACCAACTGGCATTGGTTAAAACTTCAGACTTGCTGTAATCTCTTGGTGTGACAGTTGTGTCTTCCACTTACCCTACATAACTGCATTAATTTAAATGTTTACTACAGATGAGAGGGAACCAGGTTTCCAGCAAAGACTAGTGCCTTTGACAAGCTTAAAAAAGGAAGGTTCAAAAAACATGAAAATGTTTGAGAATTCAAACACCGTTCATGCACATTACACGACCTGCTCCTAAATTTTAACAGCCAAATGACATGCAGCAATCTTGATGGACACATGAGCACTATGTATTATTCACCTTGGTCAGCTAAGCTATACGTCCTTTGATGACATTAACTACAGAGTGCAGAAACCTAGGCAGAAACCTAGGTGCAGAAGCCCTCAGAATACAACAAAAGGAGACAAAGGGCAGACAGACAAACCTGAATTTGTGCATTAGCAGGGACCCACCACGTATTCAACAACCTTTCAGTTCAAAATGGTACTCCCCTTACAGAACTGGGCTTTAGAAACATGAACTTTAAATAATGAGCAACCAGTATTAACACTGGTATTCAAAACTGAAGCCCATAAAGCGGTGTTGACTTAATACTAAGGCAAAGACCTCACCCATAGATATCAATGTCACCATTCTAACCCAAAGAAGAACAGTTTAGACTATGGTATAGCACGTGATTGATTCATCCCGTTTCACTTCAAGCCAGACTTCTATTTGTGCATGCTGAGGATTTACCTGATCAACCCTATCACCTGACCATAGCGATATAAGCACACAAAAACCTCCACACAGGCAAGTGTGCTTGCTCACTTCCCCACCACCTGCAGCCAAATTACCAAGTTTGTGAGTCTGTGGAGAAATTGAGTCACTACCCCAATGGATCCAAGGGGCTTGTTAGTTCTACCATCAACTACATTTGGAGTGGGGGCTTGTGGAGGTGTGGGAGGACCCGTTCAAATCCAGTTGAGTTCCTTATTTGAGGCTCACTGCTGTTTCTGAGCTGGCTCCCATACAAAGCCATGCAAATGCCACCACGATATACTGAGCTCCCCAGTACTCCCAGTTCTAAGAGGGCTTTTTAGCTTACATGTGTGTGAATATATATAGCTAGCTGTTTCTGCACCAACACTGTCTCCATGCGTCTTCTTACCCCCAAATGAACAAGCGTTCCTTGAATACGAGCTGCTGGTAAGCACAGTGCCAAGACTGCCACACACTGGTGCCCAAGGGAGCCAAAACAGGCTCCGAAGGAGTACTTTTACTCAGGTTCTTCTATTAACATGCTAATGTTGGGATATCCTAGTTTAGTTACCCAGAAGACAGAAATAACCTTGTATGCACCAGGCTTTCAAGATGCTTTTGCCTCTATTGCAATGGTTTCACTAATCCTGTTTTGGTTTTTTTCCCACTGCTCTGCAGCATTATTTTTGGGTTTGTTTTTTTTTTTCTGTTGATAAGATGCCACACAGGGCTTTAACTACAGGTACCAGTTTACTAACAGAAATCATTAATGTTTCTTATTAACAAGTGAATAGGGATAAGCATGCAGCCATATATTATTATTGATTCCCCTGGATATAGAAACCTTCTTATCAGCAGTGCTTGTAAATGGCAAAATGGCATATGAATGAGGCTTGAGAAAAGCTTGAGGTGAAGAAAGGCCAAAGCAAGACATTTTACTTGCAAAACGTGAAGGTTTGGCTTTATGTTATAGGAACAGTTCAAGCCTGATTTTCCACCCTCCTTGAGGGCACTGGACAGCATACCACTTTGCAGAGGAAAGAACCAACATTTTTGTGTAATGTGAACAGCAACCTAAGAGGCTGTAGCTGAAGAAGTGAAAATACAGCCCTTAGCTACAGGAGTTGTAGATGAATATTAAAAGGTCAAGAATAAGTATAACGGCAAAAAATACATGACAGCAAAATGGAAGAAACAAAGAAACTGACACGCTCCAGGCACCAAGTCTTCCAGTATATCTTGTACCTTCCAACTCAACAATTATCCATTTTAGAACCGGGCTGTACAAATGCCGATAAAAGACCCAACACATTACATGAGAAATGTCTTCAGTTCAGGTAAATATGAAATCCAGCATCCCTCTTCGAAAGAATAAATCAAGTAAACAAGAGCAAAAGCATCACCAACCCTGCCCTCCCCAGAAAAGCACAGTAATATTGAATACTTGGGACTTCAGCTCCTCTGGCCCTCTATGTTTAAACTTCACATTTGAATACTTATAAAACGTGCATGGTCTCCAACAGACACAGGAGTCTGGAAGAGCAACTAAAACCTTAAGTAAAGGTCCCCTGTTGAAGGTCACTAATCGTAAAACAGCACCGAGCTCTCCGGTATCTTTCCCAATTTAACACCACTAATTCACATATATGTCATGCTCGCAAGTGGGTGAAATTAACCACGAGGACCTGGTGGGATTAGTCCAGACTAAGTCAGGCTGCAGCTGGTACACGGTATCTATAGAGCTGCAGCAGTACAGCTAGTTATCAGTGTTACTGCTTTGGAGATGGAGGCTTCAGCAACCCCCAGTTGCCAGCAAAGGCTAGTGGTGACTGGTCAGGATGGATGCTCTGGCTTTGGCAGGCAGCACAGTGGCAGAAGGAAGGACATCCAGAGTGAAAAACACATTCCTCTACAAAACTGGTAAGTCAATAGATAGCTTTCTAAACTATCCACCCTTCCAGATGCAGTCTGCTTCTCTCCAAGCTAAGCAAAGGTAGCTATCAAAGTAACCGCTGCTATACAAAACCAAGAAACTCCTCATTAGACATTTATTAATACCCAGGGAAGAGGAAAGGGTAAAAAGGCTGAGCACTTTTGAGCTACTTGGAAGAGGGACAGCTCACCAAGATTTGACCAGAAGCACTGGACAGCATCAGCTTAAGGAAAGCTCAGAGCTAGCATCCACGAATGTCCACGAATGGTTTTGCCTGCTATAACCCAGTTCTATTTATTTTTGTTCTTAAGGGGGTCAGACTGATGCACAGATTGTCAGGTCCGCACTATACACACAGTGGTCTCACCTCAAAGGTCCCAGCCTTCAGAAGATTAACCTGGTCATGTTGGGAGAGATCTCGGAAACCTGGGATGCGCTTGGCAAACTCCACCACTTCCTTCACCGCAGGGGTAAAACTCAGGGAAAACTCTTCCCAGACTTCATGGCCAGACTTGTTTGGGTCCACGTGGGGAGTCTTACTCATTGGGCAGACCTGATGTTTACAAAACATACGCAGAAAACAACTCTTAAAGATATAATTCCAAATACTGGCAAATACTTGAAAGAAGCAGGTTTATTCTTCAAGAAAACTTTGCAATAATGATGCATAGAGAAAAAGTATCAGTATTCCTCAGTCAACTCCCAAAGCAAACGAATTTCTCCCTCTCCCTTTAAAACAAACAAACAATAAAACACCCATGGCAGTCCATTAGCAGTCTGTTTCTGATTTGCTGACCTTGGAAAGGCCAACAGTGTTTATAGCAAAAGACTTGAGAGAACCCAGGTTGTTCTACTCTTCCCTGATGTCACTTATGCCTGACATTTGGATTTCTCTTACTTGTATTATCCCTGTAATCTCACAATTAATCACGATTTCACAATCAATCGATTGTAATCTCACAGTCACTACTATATTCATTCTCATATATCCTTCTTGTTTTGCAGGCAACTGAAGTGATTCAGTCAAGGTGACAAAGGTGTCAACACCAGAGCAAGGAACCGAGCCTTGGTTTCCTGAGTCACAGGTTTACACCCTCATTACCAGGACAACCTTCCTCTCCTATGTGTTTGCTCTTATATGTATCATTGAAGGAGGCCAAGGAACTGGTATTCCAATTTTGCTCAGTCACAGGATGACAAAATGCTCTTTCTTTTATACAAACCTACAGCGATTTTTTTGTAGGAAAGCCTGAATCCATTACAGTGAGATCAGACATATCAGTCAAGGCTGACTGCCAGTAAATTCCCTCTGTAAAACCCAACCTGAAGCTCTGAGATACTTTCAGTTCTGCTTTCTAAAATCCACAACTTTTAATGAAGTTCAAACGTTTGGAATATTCATTTCACCTGTCATCATCAAGGATGAGAATTCCTTTAAGTATTCCTCACAAGTATACTGAACAGTGTATGTATGTATGACATAATGTCAGCAAAGCGAATAGAAAACAGTGAAATAGATTAGTAAATCCTCAGAGCTACGATGCTTTTGCAGGGCACGTTGAATCTGCTAATTGCCTAGCAATTCTTTGCGTGGAAGGTTCTAAGATCCATTACTAAGATCCATTACAAGAGTATATTCAACAGGTACATACGTGTGTGTGTACGCATGTTATTTGGCAACACTAGGGAAAACAAGATGGAGATAGATACAAATTTCTGTTTTGTTTTGTTTTTTCCCAAATATCAGTTACTAACTGGGCAGTCAATATGCAGAAAGCTCTCCCCAAAAGACAAGGAACAGAATTGCAGATTTCTTGGTTCAGCTGTGAATTACATCATTTGCGTGTCTGAGGACAACACCCAAAACCAAATTATTACTTGTGGGATAGAGAAGGACTTTTTCCATAAACTGAAAATCATAAAATATTTTGGCAAAAGGAAAGGTCTAAGGCACATAACCAGAAGCACAGCAGACACTAACCACTGCTCTGTCCATGATACTGCAACGGTTCACGCAGGTGTTGTTAAAAATACAGTACTCTCTGAAAACAAGGAATGTCTGGTTCAGCACCCCACTCTGAATCGGACACAAAAAGCACTTCAGTTTCTCATCCTACCATGGTTTACCCTAGCTCCCAGGCACTCAGTCGTGAGGGGAAACTGCCATTTTCCGCCCCTGTGTATTATATCTAAGCTCTCTTGAGAGACCTCTGCCCAGGAGTCCTTCCTATGGGTGGAGCTGTCAGCTTGTGCAGTCACTAGCTCTCTTCAGAGGAACCTCTTCAGGAGCGACCTGTTCTGCTTCTCTGGTTGTGGGGGTATTGAGTAAAAAAAACAAACCCCTGAACATCTGTCTCCATACTGGTTCAGAGCCTAATTACACTCCCTTACAGCTACTGGCTCGTTTTGGTCAGATCCTGCTCTCATTGAGTTCTCTGGCAAAACCCTCATTCATGTCAGGGACGCGGGGGGTGCCTGCAGTGCTCTGCTGGATTTCGGTTTGTTTCCTCATCGTCAGCTGCGTTAAACCTCCCTGCAGCTGCTATGCACAGGTCAAACTGACTGGCTGGGCCTCTGCAGGCAGCGTCACTCCCTAGCTGCCCATACTGACAGGTTTAACCTCTGCTTCTCAGGAGTGCCAAGAATGCCGTTGTAGTGACTCCACATACTTTCCCTGCAAGGAAGAAAGGTTGGGAATGATTACTATTTGCCATGGTGTAGCGCCTGGAGTCTGCAATTAAGGTCAGAGCCTGCTAGGGATGGCATGGTCCACATATGCAGTAGCCAAAGAATTAAAAAAAAAAACAACCAACCAAAAAAAAAAAACCAAACCAACAACAAAAAAGGAAATTCCACATCAAAACAAACAGCCTTCACTGTGTGGAGACTTTCAGGGGCCTTCAAGAAGACTGTGAAGACTCTTTACAAACCAGGAGGAAGAAAAACACCGGGGCAGCTCAAGTACTTCAGAAAGGTCAGGGGCTCGCGCTTCTCGACAGGAGCGCAGGATGAGAACGAGGATGTTATGTTCTCTCATCCCAGGCAGTTCCAGCGATAAAGAGAAGGACAACCTATTTTAAGGGGCTTACAGAACCGGTTGCCTGAATGGCAGAGAAACAGCAGGTGCAAGGCAAATGGGAGGGACCTGTTAAGGAAAGGGAAAAAAAAAAACCAAAACCCATATGCAAGAAAATACGAAGCATCCTTGTTAAGAATTCAGTGAGAAAATGCTCTAGCAAAGTCATCTAAGGTACCCAGAAACGTGTTCACAGCCTCCTTGTGTAAGTACTACAGAAAAGACCCTGAACTTCTCTCAAGCAGTTTAGCTGTGCATCTTCCTCCTGCCTCTGTTCAGATTTGAAAATGTTCTAGGGGAGAAGGATATATAGCCTATGAGTCCCACTGAGCCTCTATTTTGCATTGCCTAGAACAGAATAAGCCTATCCCCATCAAAACAAAACAAAACAAAAACCCACCAACCAAAAAAAAAAATCCAGCCCACCTGGCAAGAGAGATTTTAGAACACACTAGCAAGGCGTGCAAACAGACTGGCTTAAAATCCTAGCCCTGAGGTTTCATCCCAGAAATTTGCTCTGAATACCTTTAAGGAAAATACAGCATATCTGAGTGTGTAGATTATTTTAAAGTGAAGTCTTCAAGAGGATTGAGTGAAGAAAGGAATTTATAAACTCCTTACATCCATTTTCATCTTTAAGTCAAGACAGTTAAAAAACCCGTGAGTTTTCTTCAACCAATGCTCTTTGACATTAGTCTACTTTCAGTCAGCTAAAAACTGAGCCAAGAAACCCCATCGCTTGTATGGTTTCAAATCCTCCACACAACTTGAGCCATTATTCTCCATCACAATTTGCACTATCAAACTTTTGTCACCATTTTAAATTTCAGCCAATTGTGTGCAGTTTACCGTGTGCCAATTGTGTACAGTTTACTGACTAAAGAGGCACAGCTGGATCACACCCATCACTAAGCCTTTCACTAAGTCAAATCAAACAATTGATATCAATATACCAGATGCATTCTTCCTCCAGTGCTGCAAGAGTAAGTGGTATTCTTGTTTGGAGAAAAGCCATCTTCTGGGATCCTGTCACACAGTCGCTGAGTATAACCACTGGAGAAGTTCATACAGTGGGCATTTGTGAAACACATGGCGTGTCCACTTGGATAATGCATTGCGCTTCTCCCTTTGTACTGTCCACCAAGGTGCTGCTCACTTTCAGGGTACTGAGGGCCACCGAGCCCGCTAACACAGTGCTCGCTGCTCAAGATGTACTGCTCAGTGTTCTTTGACACTCTCTCCCCACTCTGGGACTGCATCATCTCAGCTGGGTTTTGAGACTGTTCTTGGTTGTACATGAAAGTGTCTTTGTGGGCCCTAGTGACCATACCGATCACTTCTTCCTTAGCCATGTCAGCGCTAGGAGGGGGAGAAGGGCTTTTGATGGTTTCCCGCTCTTGTTTGGGCTTGGAGGAAAGGTCGTCTTGAGGTGCTTGATCTTGATGTTCTGTTAATGCTTCATTGGGTAAGTGACCACTGAACTGACTGTTCATCATGGTTTTCATAGCACTCTGCATTTCAATCAGCATCCTCTGTTTTTCACGTTTGGGAATACGGCCAAATCGAACAGCTGCCAAGATGGGGAAATGAAAAGTGGTGGGAATTAAAAAAAAAAAAAAAAAGTCAATCCTGAAAGTGGTAGCACGCACACACACAGAATACACATTCCAACCAAAAATCTTGCCTTTTAAGGGAACTCTTTAACTGTTCTCACCAATACTACAGCGGGAGTATTACCACTGAAGTCAAGGAGCTTCCTGGGCATAGGATAGGCATGAGATACGAAATGTATGCTGTTGTTTACATACAAAGAGAAGGCAGCTCTAAAGCACACAATCTCTAAAGCCTTTTCCCCTTTTGCTACAAACCTGGCTATGGACTATACACACAGTTGTGTAAGTCAATTAAGTGTCAGGCTTTAAGATTGGATCAATTAAATCAGTACAAGTTTGTGAGCTGACAATTAGCTGAATGTAAACACAGTTCATATCATATTTGAATAGAAGTCCTACAAGACAGCTCCTCATGGACCAATTATATAACTTGCCAAAACAGTTAAGAAAATCAATGCTGAATGAAGCTTACCTTGGCAAATTTTCCTGATAACTTTGCCTTGACAAGGACATTTTCTGCTGGCAAGGGGATGGGCATCATTGTGGCTGCAGCACTTTTGACCCTGTCCTAGGGAATCTACAACTGCCTCTACCATCCTGTCCAACCGCAGCCTTACATGGGCTTATAACCAGTTTCGAGTGATGTAATTATATTCATGCAGTAGTCCATCATTAATGTAAGTAAACCTCTTTCATTAAAGCAGGTGCAACCTTACGGGCAAACAAGCGCCCAGGGGATGAAATAACTCCTATGCACGACAAGAACTCGGAACAATTATTTAAAATAAGTTTTAACACTCCACCCACTAAATTATTAACAGCCCAGGAGTCCTAGTTCTTGTGAAATAAACACCCAGAGAAAATTAAAAAGTGAAACAGAAGGAAGAGTTCTGGTTTGTGACGGGAAGTTGTAGCAGACTAATGAACTATACTTTCACATTACATTTTAAAAAAAGTCACAAGGAGCGGATAGCCAGCAAGGTGGTCAGAGACACAGCTCAACATTACCCTTTCCTCCTTGTCTTCCCCCTCCCTCCAAGGAGAGAAGAAGAGAAAAAAAAAAAAAAAAAAAAAGAAGGAGCAGTTATATGCTCGTCCCATGCATCCAAACCTAACTCTTTAGGCTCTAACTCTTTAGGCTCTATAATGATTACTGTAAGGCTATCAGCTTGGGCAGAATTCCCTTTCATTGAAAAAGCAACAGTAACAAAACAAAACAACAACAATAAAAAAAAAAAAAAAAGAAAAAGAGAAGAGTCTTGTTCGGATTCAGGCAGGATACAGCTACAAATATTAACTCATTAAAACACAACTGAGACTCTTGTTACAACCGTCCCTCTAACAGACCACTGAGACCACTGCATCGCATCCCACTGCATTAGCCTCCAGAGATGGGAGGACAGCTCTGCGGCCAGTATTACGTTACCAGTTCAGGAGAGTGACAGAGCAAGAAGGCAAGCTGATCTAAACGCTCTCGGACAGGGAATGTGTCCCTGACAACAGGGCTAGCTGCGTTTTCTGCCATTAAGACCCTTAGGAATCGGTTTTGAGGTGGGCAGTAGATTCCCTCTCAGAGGATCACTGCTCAGTAGAGGAACATACCATCTCTTGACATCCCAACAGACAGGCATTTTTTGAAACGACACTGCTGGCATCTGTTCCTATTCATTCTCATTATAGAGCAGTTGTTATTCTTCAAGCACTTCTTATACTGGATGTTTTGCTGAATGCTTCTTCTGAAAAAACCCTGTAAACAAATGAACAAAAATCCCCACAACTATTATTACAGCACATGTCAAATCCTCCTGCCAAGATTCACCTCTCCACAAGCACAGAAAACCTCACTGCGTCTCATCAGCTGCTTCAGAGCCATCAGCCCCAAGTGATTTTAAAGAACTTGCTATTCCTCATGACTTACTTCCTCTTTGTGTGTGATCTGTGTATAATGCAAACTAGTCATGATTTCTAATTATAGAAGATGCTAAGTTGTTCCCTCCTTAGTCAGCACTATATCTCCAGTATTACTTCTATCACTGTACTGACAGTTTATAAGATATGCCCTCAATCTCCTATGACATCAAGTGCAAAGACAAAAGCCAAAAATCAGATCTTTTGACTTCAATCTCCATAGTTTGGCAACAAAACCATCCTGTTGCACCATATGACCTTCAAAGGTGCTTCTTTCACATAACCCTTACACTGATAAACTCCTTCACAGAACTTAACATTTGCAGTGTACAGTATCAGAAAATAGATATCTACTGATGCGTGAACATGCGAGCAGCCAGTTACGGCTTTCCCTGTGGTAAAGAATTGCTTTTCCAAAGCTGTTTTGTTCTGTGTCCCAGCCCAGGTGACAACTCACGCCCACTATCTCTTAATGCAATTAACATTCATATGTCTTGCATGACATAGTCCTTACCACCTCTGTCTCTGGTTCTTGTTCTCTGCTATGCGCTCCAGGTCAGGCAGGATTGGACAAGGGGCGAGAACAGAAAGTACTGCAGAGTTTGGAAAATGCTGTGTATTGCTAAGTGGCTTGCCTTTTCCTACAACTTACACGCTGTCTGAAATTTCTCAGATTTAAGTTTAACAGAGAAGCAAACTGATATTTTTTCAGCAGTATCACCCCTTTTCCCCTATAGGGATAACTTAAGCATTTCACTAGCAGAAAGGCAAGCAGAAATATAGCTCACCTTGCAGCCCTCACAGGCATGAACACCATAATGAAATCCTGAAGCGACATCTCCACAGACTTTGCAAAGAAGAACCATGCCATTAAATTCTAGAATCAGAACAGAAAAGTCAAGGATATAGAAAACCAGTGACAACTGCAGGAACATGTTTCCAGCTTTTAAAACCTGGACTAAAAGCAAAATATGTCAGGTCAGTTCAACACACAAAAAAGTACAGCAGAGGAACAGACAACAAGAACGTACAAAAACCCTGAACAGTTCAGAAGGTACCAGTGCAAGGGAGGGGGGAAAAAAGACAAACATGAAGCACTCAACAGAATAGGGAAAAAGCACATATTCACTGGACTTTCAATCACAGCAGCATTGTACTCAACTGTAAAAAAAGAAAGTCTGCTTACATTTACGCATTTTTAAAAGGACCATTTAGTTAACTAGGCCACCAAAGTTCGGGCTCAATCTGTTTTTCCATCAGGACAAGTAAGCCCATATAAAGGCTACAGTTTCCCCCAAGAGAGAAGAAACATCTTCTCTTAAAAATAGAAATATTAAAGGACACTTTATTTTATTATATATATTGTAAACAAGCCATACACTCTACCTATTTGATAACAATTTAGAACTGGTAACTCAGACACATCTACATATGTAAAGACTACTCATGTGAGTCCATATCCAGAATGGCACGCTCGCACACTTGAACTTGAAAATACCTTCTCAGCCCTGTAAATATGCTCATGGTTTGGTTTTTTTAAGTTTTTCCCCACCTATTTCATTTCAGCTTGTCAATAAAGATTTTTTGCAAGTCCTAAGTGCTAGTCTAACATTGGTTTCACTGAAGCCAATGGGAATTTTACCAGTGACTTCAGTAACCACAAAGTTACCTTAACAGCGAGCAACAGTGACAGCTGGAAATACTCGCGTAGAACCATATTCCAGCAGAAAAGTAGTTTATTTGACATTTGGGTTTCATTTGTAAAGAGGAACTAAAACTTTTTTTTTTTAAAGTTTTGAAAAAGAACCAAACCACAAAATTTCCTCCCCCCCCCCCCCCAAACAGAGCTCGTACTGAGCTAAAGATGTTATCTATCTATCTATCTATACATCTGAACAGTTTACAACAGGTTTCATGTTCAGGAACCTCTGCCCTGATACCAAAAACTTAGTTGCTAGCAAATTTTTAAGAGGAAGTAAAGGTTCTTACTAAGAACTTAGGGTAGGAACACTTCAAAAGAGGAAAAAAAAGACTTTTAAGGTAGAACTGTTAGATACTTATTCTAGCTTCATAACAATTCAAAATGGTAAAACAATTCTGCCAATAAAAGAATTCAGCCTTCAAAAGACTAGTCTAAATTCCAGCTGAGTGTTGAAACACTCATTCCAGTACTCAGTTTGATTCCTGCCCTTCCAAAACTGTTCAAATTAGTTCTTTATCGTTGATCTTCTCTCATTACCAAAAAAAGCATGAAGAAAATAGCTGGAGCTAGATTGTTAAATGCATTTTAAAAGGGCTATCCTTTAGTTCCAGCTTATGAGTACTTTGGTTTTTAAATCCACAAATTAAGACTTGGAATGAAAAAGATAAAGGTCCCTGCTACAGCTATGTAAATATAATATAATGTTTTGGTAATTTATTTATTTTGCTCCTCAAAGAAATTTGAGGGGGGAGGGAAGGTGAAGGGGCTGGGGAGGGAATATGAAAAAACAGAGAAAATAGATTTGCAAGACAGATCCATAAATCCTCCTGAAGGCAATTTCTGATTACTATCACCTTTACTTCATTGCATCTTTTTAACCAAGTGTTTGATTTTTATTAAGATCAGTTTTCTCTAGCGAAAATCTGAAGTAAAGCTGGACTGTATTTATGGACTGTTTGAAGTTAGCAGCAACAGGACCTCCATCTATTAGCATTTGTATGGCAATACCAGACGTATTACCATACATATAATGCAAAAAGGTAAAAATGGAGGCTTTGCTGTGTGCCTTCACAGCAAGCCACGTGGAGGACCTGGTTGTAATATACAGGGTTGTAATATATACGGGGAAAATGGTGGTTTCAGGAACCGGCACCAAACATACTTGTGACTCCATTATGGCCTTTTGTCAAACCAGCAACAGTCGACTGGTTTGTTTTAATAGTCTCCTCCAGCCGATCGCTCTTCAGTGCCCCATCAGAGCCCTCGCTGCTCCGGCCGTTGCAGCCGCTTTCCGAGGAGGAGCTGTTCGGAGAAGATGGTACAGGCGAAGAGGACGACTGGAAACCGCTGTCTGAGCTCTCGCTGTGACATGAGGCTGGGCTAGATGCCGAGCTTGAAGAGCTGATGTAAGCTATCACACCCCCTAAGGCAAGAAAAAAAGGCGGCACGTAGTGACATAACAAGCAGACATGCACCGCTGCCATGTGAGCCATGCCGTGACCCAGCACCACCAGACCCAGCCATCACGTGTTCCTGGGCGCACTCCTTTCCCTCCCTCTCTCACGCTTGCTTCTCTCCATTCGTTTTCAACGGCTGACCTCCTAATCTGCCCCATCCCCTTCTCCCATCTTATCAGCCTCCTCCGATCCAAGTCGAGATCAAACGGCAGAACCAAAAGACGGAGCAACAAGCCATGGTGCTGGCAGGACGGGGCGGCGGGGAGAAGGCACGGGGCGGCCCAGGGAGGGTTTCCCTGGCCACCCCCCGAGCAGAGCTCGTCTGGAGCCACAGCAAAGACAGGATCTTACAGTGCTGTGGAGCCAGAATGCAAACAAGCTAGGTTAGGGACAGAAATAGGGCAGAGAAAAAGACTTCATGCAGGCTACGCGCCAGAGGCACAGAAAGAAAGGGCTGCGAGGTGCTCACGATGCAGAAGGGAAGAGGGCAAAGGAAAGAAATAGCGCTGCAGCTTGGTTAGGCTACTGAACGCCATTTGTCCGACTGCAAGCCTTTGTAGCGTTTCTAGCAGCAGCTAAACTCTGACTGCCAGGCTGCTATTTGCAAACAGTCTCTGTCCTGCCGTGTCTTGCAATCTGACACACTTGAGGATCTCTCAGATGAAACAGTTTTTTGTCCTCAGGCAGACCTGGGAGCAGTTCTGGCTTTTCACAGGCTCCTTTTTCTTGCGAGTAAGCAAGAGAAATTGTTTGTACTTTATTTGAGTTTGTCTCCAAGACGCAGCGTTTCAAAAGTCAATTTAAAAACATTTGGTATTTCACACACAAATTTCCACAGCGAAAGACATGCAACTGTTTAAATAACAGCATCTTCTCTGTTTTATGCCTGTATTGCTCTGCAAAATCTCTTCACAGACGACTCGGGACATTGCAGCAAGGAATTCCACACACCAGTAAAAACTTAAAAATGGCCATGCACTGGCTTCTTTTAGAGGAAAAAAGCATTGGTGTCAGTAGAGTCCTTGATCAACCGAGTTGGCCTGGCAGGTTGGGGCTATAGCACCTTACATCAGCCATTGCCTCCTCACAGATAAAGGCTGTTACGCCTATTAGGCAGCACTGTTATACAACCCTGGAAATATCACTGCTTGCAGGTAGAAATTGGGACTTATAAATTTGCAGTACTTTGATCAGCTATACTGGTCCTCTTAGCATTTCTGCGGCAGTGCTACTGGCCCATTTCTTCTTTAACGTTTAATTTTTTCTACCAAGGAAACCACCACCAACACCTTAAAGAGCGTGCAGCCGAGGAGCCCCTGGCAGAGCCGCCGCAGAGCGGACGTCAGACCAAGAGGCCATGTGACACGTGTGCTACACACAGACCGCTTCTCACGTTCCTGGACACCAGTGCCCCTACACCCGACCACAGCGGTCGTCCCTGCACAGATTTTTTTAAGAAATCCTCCACGCAGCGTAGCACGCATCCAGGATCAGGTTTTTGGAGAACGGAGGGTTGCAATGGGCACGCAGGTCCCGCAACAGCATGAGAAAAAGACACCGTCAAACACCCGTACTAGTGTAAGACACCATCTATTTGACAAAGGCCCTGCTATGCCCTGGCGCTGCACGCGCCTCTGCCAGGTGCCAGGTCAAAGCTCACAGTCCACCCGGTCCCAGGGAGGCACCGGGTTTCTCAGCAGGCGCCATCCTTATCTGCAAGGGGCAGAGCAGGGCACGCAAACACGGCCCCTGCAGGGAACTCCACGTTTCTCCACGCTGCCACCTCGCCCCGCTATCTTTAAACCCTGCCTCATAAAAAGAGATGCTCTCTTCCCTCAAGGGTAATGCCAACGTCACAGGGGAGCACGGAAAGAGAGCGTCTACGGGGGTTTTCACCCCTTGCCTTTTGAAAGCCTGAGGAGCCCCAGGTAGCTGGGCTGCTCCCGTACCCTAGAGAGCCTGGCAGTCTTGCCTGCATCACAGACAAGACTCCTAATATGT